AATAATAAAAAATAGTAAAAATAGTGAAAAAAATTGTAGAAATGATTCTAATAATTAAAGGATGAGACACTAGTAATTATAGTAATTTTTTAACTTTATTTTAATTTTTATAAATAAATAAATATATAAAAAAATTCAAGAAAAATAGCCAAAAAAAAAGAAAGAAAAGGAAATGACATTTAAAATTAATACTTCTGCACTATTAATTATATGGCATGGTTTAGGATTCAACCGGTGCAACACGACATGAAACAATTTGCATTTGGATATGCCATAAAAAGTAATTGTGGCTCGATGACAAGCAGCCTGGGCTGTGGCTTGTGTTGTGGCCCGCTGGCTAAGGTTGTGGCCTGTGCAACTGGTAAAGGCTATGGTCTGTGCTGCAGCATGTTGGCCAAGGCTGTGGCCTGCGCTGCAGCATGTTGGCCAAGGCTACGGCTTGCTACTATGTTGCTGGCCAAGGTTGCGGCCTGCATTGCAGCGTGCTCGCCAAGGCCACATGCTGGCCATGGCTGTGGCCTGTGCTGCAGCATGCTGGCTAAGGCTGTGCCATGCTGGCCAAGGCTGTGGCCTGGGTTGTTGCCTCGAATGCGGCCTATACAGTTGGCCAAGGCTGCAGCCTGTACTGTAACATGTTGGCCAAGGCTGCGGCCTGCTGACCATAAGTGCGGCCTGTGCTGTTGGCCAAGGTTGTGGCTTGTGCTACAGTATGCTGGCCAAGGCTGTGGCATGTGCTGCTGGCCAAGGCTGCGAATTGTGCTACTGGCCAAGGTCGCGGCATGCTGGCCAAGGCTGTTGCTTGTGCTGTAGCATGCTGGCCAAGGTTGTGGCATGCTGGCCAAGGCTGCTGCCTGTGTTACGGCCTGCTGGCCAAGATTGCATCCTGTGCTGCAGCATGCTGGCCAAGGCTGCGTCCTGTGCTGTAGCATGCTGGCCAAGGCTGCGACCTATACTGCTAGCCAAGGCTGTAGCGTGTATTGCTGGGCAAGGCTGTGACGGGTGTTACTGGCCAAGGCTGCGGCATGTGCTGTTGCCCAAGGTTGCGACCTGTGCTGCTAACCACGGCTGTGTCATGCTGGCCAAGGCTGCGCCCTGTGCTGCGGCTTGCTGGCCAAGGCTGCGCCTTGTGTTGCTGTATACTGGCTAAGGCTGGGGCATATTGGCTAAGGTTGCGGCCTGTGCTGCTACATGCTGGCTAAGGCTGTAGCTTGTGTTGCAACATGCTAGCCAAGGCTGCGATCGGTGCTGAAGCATGCTAGCCAAGGCTACAGCTTGTGCTACAGTATGCTGGCCAAGTCGGTGGTATGCTGGGTAAGGTTGTGGCATATTGGCCAAGGCTACGACATGTGCTGCTCCCTGCTGGCCAAGGTTGTGGCATGCTATGCAAGGCTACGACCTGTGCTGTAGCATGCTGGCCAAGACTACGGCCTATGCTACTGCATGCTGGCCAAGGCTAGGGCATGCTGGCTAGGGCTGCGACCTGTGCTACTAGGTAAGGCTGCGACATGCTGACCAAGGCTATGACCTGTACTGTAGCATATTTGTCACCACCCCATTCCGCCCCTAGTAGAATGGTGTCGTGATGGCCAGTAATCCGAGATTACCAAAGGCCAACTTACAAAGATTCACACACAATCAGAGTATTACATATGGGGCTTACATGTGCGGAAGGAATATATTTAAATCTAAGTAGTCCATAAGAGCTGTGCATAGAATCTTCTCCTAGGTCTCTTCCAAGAAGGCTTGAAAAAACCTTAAGGCCGCACGGTTGGCTTGGAAAAACCAAAGTCATCACACTAGGCCGCTCGCATGACAAGCTGTTAGGCTGCGGCCTGGATGCATGCACGCCAAGCCAGCATGCTGGCCAGGCCGCGGCCCAGGCTACGAGCGGGCTATGCCGCGTCGCCGGCGAAGGCGGGCGTGCCACCACCACCACCATAATCCAAGCAACGACATGTGCCAAGTGCACGTTGTGGCCTGGGTGTGGCCTGTGGCCTAGCCTTGCTGGCTAGCCTTGAGGGTGGTGCCCCGCAGAGGGTGAGCTTGGATACTCAGTGAATGATATTAGAAATAAAGGTTTTGCATGATTGATATTCGAGATCTTTTCCAAAACAATACATATCATAACTTTACTAGTCAAGGGATGAATCAAGTTCATCTGTCAAACCTTTCAAGTTCCTTGGATGTTAATAACATCTACGTAATACCAAATGATGACATTCCGGACAAACAAACCCACCTGTTCATAGACCGTCGGTGGCAAAACAAGGGTGTAGTTGCATTATAGTCCCCTGGCACTAAGGACTTTCAAGACAAGGGTGCAGTTGCATTATAGTCCCCTGGCACTAAGGACTTTTCCAAGAATGTCATCAAAACAAGATAATACTTGATATACAAAATAGGGATAATCATTCATGCTTGATCAAATACTTTTCAAAACAAGGCAAAGCTTTATCAAGACTTTATAACATAGCTTTATTAAAAATACCACTCACTTAGTTCTTCGGGTGTGGGGGTTTCAAGTGAGGATCCAAGGCCTACAAACACATGGCAAAGTCTACTGAATGCACTTCTCAAAGCAAGTCCTACATGCATGCAAATGATCTCGGGAAAACATGCTGGGGTTAAAACACTATTTTACACGTCGAGAAGACATGCTGGGTACCAACCAGATCTTGGCCGAGGTCCCATACCTTCTCGCCGAGGTGTGGTCCCGACGGCCACATTCAAAAGCGAAGTCAGGAAAATCTGGGTTTCCCTTTGAGGAACATGAAGAACATGAAAATAGAGAAGATGAAGAACATGCATGCTTAAATCATAATTTGTTATTACAAAATCTGAGATTTCATGCTATGAGTTCGAAAACATGGACCTTGGTACCCATACTTGAAGGTCATATGAAAACAAACACAAAAACATGCATCTTGATACAAACTTTCGAATCAAAACATGGTTTTCTTCAAGAACACATGAATATCAATTTCTCTTTCTAAAACCGAACTTCAAAGCAATGCAATGCGATTAGATCAACATAAAGAATAACAAGAGTAGGTCAAGAACCTAACCTCAATACACGAATCTAACGGTTTGATCTCTAGGAATCAAGCTCGAAGATCTACTCTCTCACTCTAAAATATATTTTTCCTCTTAGGGCTTCTCTCTCTAAAAGACAAAGATATGATACAAAATGATAGGTTCTCTCATCTGGTTCTGGGCTTAACCTTTTGTTGGGGCACGTGGCAGCGACCGGTTGGGTTCCCTCAAAAGTGGCTGACAGATCAGACAAAAATATGGCGAAAGGGTGTTCAACAAGTAAAGCGGCATGGGCATTCTGGCAAGATAATGACATCGGTGACATCATCGGCTCTGACAGGTAAGGTATTAATGATCCCAGCTAGGAAGGACAACACTTGGCCTAGCTGTGCCACACCTCGGCCTAGATGTGCCACACCTCGGTCTAGGTCGTACCAATCCAGGAACAAGATCACTTGGGTTCAAGGATAACATCTCGGCTGCACCATGGGATCCCCCAGGAATTTGCATTTTTAGAAGCATGCTCGAGCGACAAGACTTGCGCTCAAGCGAGGGACTGTGTCTCATGCTCGAGCGAGCGTTAAGCGAGCGTCGAGCGGAGATTTCATGCAACTAGAACTTTTTTCACATTTTGCAGACCGCTCGAGCAAAGGAGTCCACGCTTGAGCGACCACTCACATTTGGCATGTCCACTCGATCGAAGAAAGCCACGCTCGAGCGAGACCCCTGTTTTAGTAAAATTTGGCTAAGTGTTTCAAGTAAATTTGTTCATCCTCATTCCATCCTAGGCGTTCCTAGGCCATGATTAAGACTTCATAATGAGGTTAAATCCTAGAAACACACTAAGAACAACGAAATAAGTTGTGTGCAATTGAGCGTGTGTTTCAATGTATGAATCTGCCATGTTATATAGGTCACGCGTCTCAAGATAATTGAATTGCCCACTTTGCCATCTAATTGGAGATACCAATTATCTGTAAGTAATAAATCTGTAAAGTTATGTTTAACTTTAAGCATAGATCCCGGAAAGCTCCGAGCCCGCAAGTGTTCTGGGACTCATTAACGGAGCGACTTCTAGATTGCGTTTGAATCCGTTCGAAGCCAGGTGCTTCGGATCTCTAGGTTGGTGGATCCGAACCCTTTCGAGTCCGAGTGCCTCGGATCTCTAGGCTTGCTTAATACCCTTTCGAGTCCGGGCTTGAGTAAGTCTCTAGGTTCGTGGATCCGAATCCTTTCGAGCCATTCAACCCGTTTGACGGCGATAAATCCAAGCCCAACAATCTTGGACTTGCGATAAATTCGGGCCCACTAATCTTGGGCTATTGGGCCTAAATAATTTAGTGGGCTTAAATTAGCTCCTCTTACAGGCTGTAGCTTGGACTACTGCTGGCTGCGGCCTGGCATGTGCTATCTCTTGGCATGTCTTGCTATAGACTGTTCTTGCACTATGACTGGGGCCTTTGCTTGCATTTGCACCAATAACTTCTTGGGCATGTCTTTGGCTCTCCGAATGCCACAAATGTATGTGACATCAAGGTGTTGACCCTTGGATGGGCACACCTTGACACCTTGCCAAGTGTCGTAGCCTAGGCTGAGCCCACACATGCTAGGCCGTGGACATGCAAGTGAGGTCCAACCTTGCCAAGTGCTACAGCCTTGGCCATAGGCATTCAAGCCAGGCCGCATGCGCAGCCTTGGACATGGCTCTAGCCAAGCACTTAATAGCCAGGCCACTGCCTTGCCAAGTATTGTAGCCTAGGCCACCGCACAAACGAAAGCCTTTGTTCGGCACGTGCTGCTGGCACACAACTCATCGTAAAGTGTTAGCAAGCCCCTTGGACCATAGGAATTTTGTTTCGGCATGCACGTGAATCATTTTTGTGTCTTGAGGCACGCACTTGGGCTATATTATGTGCTCCCGAACCTCACGGGCAACTGGTCGTAGGAGGGAGAGGGAGGGAGGAGGGACGAATCGGAGTGACGCAGGGCTGAATCTTAGTGGATCGTGGCAGCAAGGCCACTTTGCCACTAACAATATCCCGTCATGTATTTAAGTCGTCTGCAAGGGATTCTACCCACCGCTTGAGATAGGAATTGTACTTCAAGGTGGCCCGCACGGCTCATCCGCCACGCGGGCTTCACCAAGGACACTTGCCTTTGGAGGCCGGACGACCCCTACTGCGGGTCGGCAAGCAGGCGACTGGTGCATGCATCGCTTCTAGCCCGGATCCTGACTTAGAGGTGTTCAGTCATAATCCAGTGCATGGTAGCTTCGCACCACTGGCTTTTTAACCAAGCGTGATGACCAATTGTGCGAATCAACGGTTCCTCTCATACTAGGTTGAATTACTGTTACGGTATTGTCATCAGTAGGGTAAAACTAACTTGTCTCATAACAGTCTAAACCCACCTCACGTTCCCTATTGGTGGGTGAACAATCAAACACTTGGTGAATTTTGCTTCACAATGATAGGAAGAGCCGACATCGAAGGATCAAAAAGCAACGTCGCTATGAATGCTAGGTTGCCAGAAGCTAGTTATCCCTGTGGTAACTTTTCTGACACCTCTAGCTTTAAATTCCGAAGGTCTAAAGGATCGTTAGGCCATGCTTTCACGGTTCGTATTCGTACTAGAAATTAAAATCAAACAAGCTTTTACCTTTCTATTCTACACAAGATTTCTGTTCTTGTTGAGCTCATCTTACGACACATGCGTTATCGTTTAACAGATGTGCCAAACTCCCCACCTGACAATATCTTTAGCCCGGATCGGCTTGCTGAGGTCGGCCTTGGGTACAAAAAGAGGGACAGTGCCCCGTCTCTGATTCACGGAACAAGTAAAATAATGTTAAAAGTAGTGGTATTTCACTATTACTGTTTCCAGCTCTCACTTATCCTACACCTCTCAAGTCATTTCACAAAGTCAGACTAAAGTCAAGCTCAATAGGGTCTTCTTTCCCCACTGATTCTGCCAAGCCCGTTTCCTTGGCTGTGGTTTCGCTAGATAGTTGACAGGGACAGTGGGAATCTTGTTAATCCATTCATGTGCGTCACTAATTAGATGACGAGGCATTTGGCTACCTTAAGAGAGTCATAGTTACTTTTGCCGTTTACCCGCGCTTGGTTGAATTTCTTCACTTTGACATTCAGAGCACTGGGAAGAAATCACATTGTGTGAGCATCCGCAAGGACCATTGCAATGCTTTGTTTTAATTAAATAGTGGGATTCCCCTTGTCCGTACTAGTTTTGAGTCAACTGTTCGTTGCCCGGGAAAGGCCCCGTGAGGAACCGTTCCCAGTCCATCCCCCGGCTAGCACGCAGCAACCCGCTCTCGCCACAGGAGCAGCATGAGCAGTCCGCTGACAGCTGACGGGTTCAGGACTGGGACCTCCGTGCCTAGTCCTTAGAGCCAATCCTTTTCCGGAAGTTACGGATCCATTTTGTCAACTTCCCTTGCCTACATTGTTCCATCAACCAGAGGCTATTCACCTTGGAGACCTAATGCGATTATGAGTACGACTGGGCGTGGGAGGCACTCGGTCCTCCAAATTTTCAATGGCCACTGGGGGCACACCGGACACCACACGACGTGCAGTGCTCTTCTAGCCACTAGACCCTACCTCTAGCTGAGCCATTTCCAAGGTGAGCAGGTTGTTAGACAGAAAAAATAACTCTTCCCATGGCCCCCACCAACGTCTCCAGACTCTCTAACGTTGCAGTCAGCCGCCACGTCCCAGTTCAGGAATTTTAACACGATTCCCTTTCGAAGCTCGCACTAAACGGGCTCTGTATTGAGCTTACCCCAACTCTTAGGATTGACTAACCCATGTGCAAGTGTCGTTCACATGGAAGCTTTCCCCTTTTCGGCCTTCAAAGTTCTCATTTGAATATTTGCTACTACCACCAAGATCCACACCAACGGCCGCTTGCGCCCAAGGTTTCGCAACGACCGTTGCGCCCTCCTACTCATCGAGGCCTAGCACTTGCCCCAATGGCTGGGTATAGGTCGCACACTTAAGTTCCATCCATTTTCGAGGCTAGTTAATTCGGCAGGTGAGCTGTTACACACTCCTTAGTAGATTTCGACTTCCATGACCATTGTCCTGCTGTCTTAATCGACCAACACCCTTTGTGGGTTCTAGGTTAGGTGTTGGGCACCGTAATCCGGCTTTCGATTCAGCCCGCATCTCCAGTTCTGTTTACCAAAAATGGCCCACTTGGAGCTCTCAATTCTGTGGCGCGGCTCAACGGAGTAGCTACGCCGTCCTACCTATTTAAAGTTTGAGAATAGGTTGAGGGCATTACACCAGTGATGCCTCTAATCATTGGCTTTACTTGATACAACTCATGTCCGGGCTCCAACTATCTTGAGGGAAACTTCGGAGGGAACCAACTACTAGACGGTTCGATTAGTGTTTCTCCCTTACACCCAAGTCAGACGAACGATTTGCACATCAATATCGCTATGGGCCTCCACCAAAGTTTCCTCTGGCTTCGCCCCACTCAGGCATAGTACACCATCTTTCGGGTCCCGACATGCATGTTCACACTCGAACCCTTCTTAGAAGATCAAGGTTGGTCGGCGGTGGAACCCATGCAGGGATCCCGTCAATTAGCTTTCTTGCGCCTTACAAGTTTACTCACCCGTTGACTTGCACACATGTCAAACCTCTTGGTCCATGTTTCAAGACTGGCCGAATGGAGAGCTTGCAGGCAAGTGCTGGGAGTGCCCAGATGCCGAAGCACGCCTGAGGGCACGCGCTGCTAGCCACGATCGAGGCGAAGGCATCTTTGCAGGCTTTTCAACTGCCTGGGCTTTGGCCTCCATCCCAATCCACATCGGTCTACGCCCCGAGTCAATCGGCAGACCGAATAGTCGTCATTCCACATCCGACCGGGGTGCATTGCCAGCCCTCATCCATTTTCCTCCTGACAATTTCAAGCATTCTTTGACTCTCTTTTCAAAGTCCTTTTCATCTTTCCTTCGCAGTACTTGTTTGCTATCAGTCTCTCACCTGTATTTATCCTTGGACAAAATTTACCGCCCGATTAGGGCTACATTCCCAAACAACCCGACTCGTAGATAACGCCTCATGGTGCAATAGGGTCCGAGCATGACAGGGCTCTCACCCTCTCTGGCATCCCTTTCCAGGGAACTTGGGCCTGGTCCGCCGTTGAGGATGCTTCTCTAGACTACAATTCGAACAACGGGGTTGCTTGATTTTCAAGCTGGGCACTTGCTGATTCACTCGCCGTTACTAGGGGAATCCTCGTAAGTTTATTTTCCTTCGCTTATTGATATGCTTAAACTTAGTGGGTAATCTCGCCTGACCTGGGGTCACAATCGGAGCACCTTGACAGCGGCGCGATAAGGTCACATTAGACCTCCCGCGACGACCTGGACGTGCGCGAGGCGACGCAATAATTTGTCAACCACCACTCGTTGCGACGCGTCGTCTGTCACGAGGGACTCGTTTAGGCAATAACAATTTTATCTTTTATTCGATGAAAAGCTACAAACACAAGACCCTTGTGAGTAAAAAGGTATATATATTATGTAGACAGGTAGAAAATTAAGATAAAAATTACCATCTTGTTGCGTTGAATTTGAGCCACCTAAGCACCCTTGACAACATTGCCGTCAGATCTAGTACTCTTGCTATTGTCTAAGTCACCCAATATATATTTCATAAAAGGAAAAAATTAAGGAACAAAAGAAGGGTAGTAATTAAAAGGAAAAACAAATAAATATTTGAAAAGCAAAATCATAATATAAAAGGACTGGAGGTACAATGAAGTCTTGTCTAACCTTTGAGAGTGGTTCTGTGGTTGTTATGAGATGATTTTGACGGATATTGAGTCTTATGGGCCTTGTTGAGCAATTTATATTGTTAAAGGCTCAAATGTATTTTTTCTACAAATTTAAATTAAATTCATTAGATCACAATTAAATATAAATTGAGAGAATGATTATAATATCCAAAATTCATAGAACAACTATGTAATTTTAAGCATTCATCACACCTCCCAACCAACTTTATTGCTAGAACCTAGCAATTAGGGCAACAAATCAAATCAAAAAGTAAAATAACAGCAACAACTCTAAACCACTTCCGCAAGAAATCACGATTGAATTTAGCACATGCAACAAGCCCTATCCAATATGTTACCCCTCGTGGACGAGTAAAAGTCTTATGAGGGTTTCCAAAGATGTTACCCACAAACATCCAAAAATTTATTTACTAAAAGGATTTCTTTCATTCTCATGCAAAAGTTAAAGAACAAGTCATGAATTTCACAACATTAACAAGATAATTAATCAAAGTTCAATACACTAGCAGCAAGTAAAGATATCTCATGACATTCAAAATTTGGAGTGTGTGAAAAAGTTCAGCCAACATAGACCAACCTTAGCCTTAATGTGAAATATAACCCAAATCTCACCAGTTATTGCACTCAACAAATAAATCACTCAGAATATGGTATAAAAATTACTCTTAACATATGTGAGAGGGTGATTTATGATCCGGTGTTGGGCCGGGGTATCGACCGGGCAAGCTGAGGGCCCAGCAGTGCATTGGGCCGAGATGATCAACTGTTCACCCGGAGATGGGCAACCAGAACTTGGGCCGGGCAAGGTTTGGACGGTGTGCCGCCCCGGACCGTGCAGAAGTTGCTCGGTCGGGAAGTGACCGGTCAGACCAGGATGCTTGGTCCGAGGATGGTCGAAACCAGACAGACCGAGAGACCGGCGCTCGGAAAGGCGCGGTCAGCCGAGGTAGTTGATTGACCGGCGAGAAGGCCGATCAAAGTAAGCATCCGGGCTAGGCTCGGCCGGGATGCCGCTTAGCCCGGTCCACCGTTTGTTTATCCGGTTAGGCGCTTAAGGTATGAAGCATGGTACGACCGAGGTAGGGCAGCTCGGCTGCCGAGCACCAGCTGTGCTGGCAGGCAGTTGAGAGCAGGTGATGAATGGCATGGTTTATGCTGACAGATGGGATAGCAGAGCCACATGTCAGGAGATGACAGGGAGTGGATATGGGGCTCAGAAGGTATATAAGCATGTCTGCGCCCCCCATACGCAACACACGAACACATCTGTAAGAAAATCCTTACACTCAAACACTCTCTCTCCCTTCTCTCTATTCCCTCGAAGGTGTGTGCTAATTTGATCGTCGGAGGGTGTTTCCGGCCACACACCGCCGGGTAGCTCACCGTTATTTGCTCGCAGGTGATCGGATATCGACGGAGCTCGGAAGAAAGGAATACGGGCACGCCGGAATATTTGCTCCCCGTACAATTGGCGCCGTCTGTGGGAATATGGGCCTTGTTGAGCAATTTATATTGTTAAAGGCTCAAATGTATTTTTTCTACAAATTTAAATTAAATTCATTAGATCACAATTAAATATAAATTGAGAGAATGATTATAATATCCAAAATTCATAGAACAACTATGTAATTTTAAGCATTCATCACACCTCCCAACCAACTTTATTGCTAGAACCTAGCAATTAGGGCAACAAATCAAATCAAAAAGTAAAATAACAGCAACAACTCTAAACCACTTCCGCAAGAAATCACGATTGAATTTAGCACATGCAACAAGCCCTATCCAATATGTTACCCCTCGTGGACGAGTAAAAGTCTTATGAGGGTTTCCAAAGATGTTACCCACAAACATCCAAAAATTTATTTACTAAAAGGATTTCTTTCATTCTCATGCAAAAGTTAAAGAACAAGTCATGAATTTCACAACATTAACAAGATAATTAATCAAAGTTCAATACACTAGCAGCAAGTAAAGATATCTCATGACATTCAAAATTAGGAGTGTGTGAAAAAGTTCAGCCAACATAGACCAACCTTAGCCTTAATGTGAAATAACCCAAATCTCACCAATTATTGCACTCAACAAATAAATCACTCAGAATATGGTATAAAAATTACTCTTAACATATGCGAGTAGAACAATGTAAATCCAAGGCAAACTATTCCACGTACAAATTTTTTGAAAAACATTAATATGAAAGAATAAATAAATAGTCTCATGTATAGAATATCAAATACAGAGAATTAAAATTTCTAGAGATGTTACCCACAAATGTCAAAAAATTTCCTTACTCAAAGGATTTCTTTCATTCTCATGCTATAAACTTAAAGAACAAGTCATGAATTTCACAATCTTAACAAGATAATCAATCAAAGTTCAAGACACTAGCAGCTAGTAAAGATATCTCATGACATTCAGAATTTGGAGTGTGTAATAAAGTTTAGCCAACACAGACATAACCTTAGCCTTAAAGTGAAATATAACCCAAATCTCTTTCTGAAACATGCTTCAACTCAAATCTCACCAATTATTGCACTCAACAAATAAATCATTCAGAATATGGTGTAAAAACTGCTCTCAATATATGCGAGTAGCATAATGTAAATCAAAGGCAAAATATCTCGCATACTAATTTTTTTTTTTTAAGAACTCTAACATGAAAGAATAGAAGGTCTCACGAATGGAATATCAAATACTAAGAATTAAAATTACCACACTATCACCCCTATCCATCATGTCCACTTGTAAGCTACACCACTCCCAAGATCAAGTAGGACTTTTATTTGGCTGTAATGTTTGGGTCAAGGAATTATGAAAAAATAACAAAAGGGTAAAGGTGAATAAAAACATGGATGTTTGAGAGATAATTGGGATAAAAATAAACACAGTTAGAGCATTATTCCAAATGCCTTGCTCTTTCTACTACTTTTTTTTTTTTCTTTTTAAACTTCCTCCTGTTTTTTTTTTTTCTTCATGGAACACAATTTATTTCTTTTTCTTTTTTTTCAGCTTTTCTACTTTTTTTTTCTTTTGTTTTTTTTTTTAAACAAACTTGCCCATGTCAAACTCAAATAATCCCAGCATATCTACAAAATTGAAACGAAAGTATGGGTTGTTGGGTTAAAAAAAGAAAGGCTACCATAAAGGCCTCAAATTGGTTTCTAATGGTTCATGACGTAATAATAAAACAAGAAAAATAAATAAAAGGCTCAAAGAAACAAAGATGGCCTAAAATCATCTCTCAAGTATTAGTACGGTCTTTCAACTTACATGATCTCAAGGGAATAAAAGTGTGATAACAAATTGATTTATTCTCAACATTCAATCAAAATGAATAAATAATGAGACTAAACAACAAATTAATGTGCTTCCAAAGAAATTAAGAGTAGATGTATCATAACCCTCCAATAAATGATTGGCACAAAACTCACAGGATTAATAGTCTCCACTATCATTCTTTGAGATTTTCAAGTCATATCCACTTCTCAACTAAAAATCATATTCATGTGGCTAAAGTGCAGTGCAATGATTTCCAAATACGAACACATGGAATACTTTGACAAAGTAGCTAGCATATAGAACTTCAACCCAATTTCTCGAGTTAAAGCAATAAAATACTACAAGTACGCCGAATCACTCAATGCATAGAACAAAAGATTACCATGCACACTTTTTCTTTTTCATTTTTAAACAAAACAACTAACTCATTGTAGCAAGCAAACATATAAATTTTTCTCAAAATAAGTATTTTCTCCCCCCAACCTGAATGATGCATTTGTCCTCAAGGGAGTAAAAGTGTGATAACAAATTGATTTATTCTCAGTATTAAACCAAAAATGAAAAAATAATGAGACTAAACAACAAATTAATGCGCTTCCAAAGGAAAATTAAGAGTAGATGTATAATAACCCTCCAATAAATGATTGGCACAAAACTCACAAGGTTAAAAGTCTCCACTATCATTCTTCAAGATTTTCAAGTCATATCCACTTATCAACTAAAAATCATATTCACGTGGCTGAAGTGCAGTGCAATGATTTCCAAATATGAACACATGGAATACTTTAACAAAGTAGCTAGCATATCAAACTTCAACACAATTCTCGAGTTAAAGCAATAAAATACCACAAGTATGCCCAATCACTCAATGTATAGAACAAAAGATTACCACAAGCAATAAAAAAAAAAAAATTAAACAAAACAAGTAACTTATAACAGCAAGCAAATATATAAATTCTTCTCAAAATAAGTATTTTCTCCCCACCATCTAAATGATGCAGTCCTAAATGTAAAAAACAAAATCAAAAAGTTAAGGAGATTACTTTAAATGATTAACCATGTCTGTAGGAACCCACATTTTATGTTCCCATCATGTTCATGAGCATTTGTGTGATTATGATTCGTTAAGGTTGCATGTGTGTGTTGTGGTTTGTTTCGCTTGAGTTAATGTGATCCATGCCTTGTTTTGAAGCCTTGCGATTTGTCTAAGTGTAGTATGCTTGTCTTGTT